TAAACCCCATAACTGTGAGGACCATCATCCTTGAGAGGAACAGCTCGGGGGTTCTTGAGATGATATTGAAATTTCTACGCATAAGAATCCAGGTCTCTGAGAAGAATGAGTTTGAAATCTTTTTGCCCAGGTTATTGTGAAGAGTTGGAGCAGATTTTGAACCGATATTTGAAGTCAGGTAGTCATTTTCATTCACTGTGTAATCACTGCTATGAGGTGTTGGTGTGCCATGCAGGACATCAGATGAATATGCATAAGAAGCAGACGAACTGCAAATCAAGAAAAACTGGAGATTATAGTTCTGAGTAGTAGGCTTTGATGCTGTTTTGAATGGATTTTAACAGTAATGTTAATGAAATGCAACTTTTAAGCAATTGAATTGCTGTTGATTGATTTGATGTACCTCATTTGATTATGCAGCTTTGCTCCTTGTTGTCTTTGTGGCAGCCTCAATGCCTGCATAACCACACTATTATTCGCACTCCATGATCTTGATGTATTATAAGGGCTTCTCAAACTATGACCGTAATCATTCAACGCACGGGAATTAGTTTGCAAGTGGAGCCGTTTTCCAGTTATAATGTTGCTCGTCTTATCTACACCAGACTGAAAAGATGAAGTCAGCGAGGCTTGTATGGTAGAAAGTGAAATCTCTTCATCAGTCAAGTGGGGTGGTTTAGTTCCTGTTCTAGCGAACTCAGCGAGTGCCTCCACCCCAAATTCAGATTGATCATATGCTCGAATTACATCCATAAGATATTCAATTGGGCTTTCTCCTTGAGGTACTTTTCTCTTCATTTGACTGAGATGGTGATTAACATCCTTTGGTGGCCCTTGAAACATAAGCTGCCCTCGAGCAAGGACGATGAGATGGTCAAAGAATGATAGGATTCGAGACGATGGCTGGTGGATTGTAAGGATCACAGTGCTGCCAGTGCGAGCTATGTTATGAACCTTTTCAATGACACTATAAGCACTGGTGGAGTCTAGTCCTGAAGTTGGCTCATCAAGGAAGAGCAGTGATGGCCCATGGATGATGTCCACCCCAATTGATACTCTTCTTCGTTCGCCACCAGACACCCCTCTTGTTCCTTCATCTCCAATATACGTGTTTCTAGCCGACTACAACCAGCCAACCAGTAAATTCATTGGTTAGATATTGAAATATTGCAAGAACAGAAAAAGGAAAAAGCCAATGATCTGCTTACAGATAACCCAAGCTGCTCAATCAAGTTCTCCACCCGATGTATTTTTTCACTCGATGGAATTGAACCTAGCCGGAAGTCTGCCGCAAACATCAGAGTCTCGTAAACAGTGAGCTTGGGGAAGAGCCTGTCATCTTGCATGATATATGCAGAAGTTCTTTTAATCAAACCTGGGCTCATTTCCATGCCATCCAAGGAAACTCTACCCTTCAGGCTTCCACTTGCAATTCTTCCCGCCAGACCATCCAAAAAGGTAGATTTTCCAGCCCCACTGGGACCTAGTACTGCGGTGACACTTCCTTTTGGTGAATACCCCGAAATTCTGTGCAACAAGTCTACTTCTTGCTTCACAAGTTTCCCTTCATGTTCCTTGTCTTTTATCACAGTATAAGTAAGGTCATAAAACTCAAGCCCACCATTAAACTTTGCAGTTCTTCCAATGTCAATCGTTGTATCACGACGTTGCCCACCACCACCATGTGCCATGTTTCCTGTTTAGTGTAGCGAGCTTTGTAAGAATGAAAACTAAAACAGCATTGAAAAAGGGAGATGAAGG